AAAATTTTTATAAAAAATTTGTAAGGTTTGACCCGGCCGGGTTATGAAAACCGAATCATTAAGTTTGTATGGCCTTATTGTAAAAATTTTTATTTTTGAAATTAAAAAGCTAACTCCGGCCAGAAATTATATAACCAATTACGTAATGCGGGCCAAAATTTGTAAATCACGACTGTTAGCCAATCAAAATCGAGACAAAATTGGTATGGCAAAGGTTATGTTTTTCAAAATCAGAGCTTTAAATGCATCAAAAAACGGAACTTTATTCATCTATTAAAGTGTCCTTCGCTACGCTCCGAACAATACTTATTACTTATAAATAACATGCTATAACAGCAATAAAATCCACTCATTTTAAAAACAATTAAAATCGCGCGTTATACGACCATATTAAGGCCGATTGTTATTTATTTCTACCCGGATTAGTCCGAATTGCGAAAAAGGTATACAATTGTAAAGTAACGAGTTTACGGCTAATTTAACTTTAAATCCGTAGTACGACGGGTCACATTTAATGCTTACTCGTATCCGATCGCAATTTCCACTTTCTAGTCACAACTACATCTTTTTTCGTTTTACCCTTTTCTGTAGATTGTGAAGAGCCATCGCCATGATCCTCACTGGTCTCTGCGGGTACTCTGGGACTTGTCGGGCGTTCATTTTCTGGGACAAAACTGCCATCAGAGGCGTCGCTACCAGGATCGCAGTCTTCACATCTCCAAACGTATCCTCTAATATTTTATAGGATGAATAATATAGTTAGTATTAAAATAAATAATATATATATATATATATATTTAAGAATTGGATAGTCATACCCAGTCGGCATGGTACGGCGCGCAGGATTCATGCATGCTAAATGGTACCATTTTTTACAGAAATTGCACCGAATCATGCGATGCACTTTATCTCTTCCTTTTAATAACATCGAACTTCTTGCTTTTGTAGGAGTAATATAAGTGGCAGATGGTTGATCCGTTGAAGGTGGAGGTACAAGATTACAAACTGCACAAACAGGTTGGGGAATTTGTGGACGTTCAGGCTCATCTTCAGCAACGGTTTCTTCTAATTGTTCGGGAATCTTTTTAGGTGTTCGCTTTCCTTTTGAAGTTTTTCGGCGTTTCTCAAAGTCCACTTGTGCTTCTTGATTATTTTCTTCTTCTACTTTACGTCTTTTAGTCGGCGAGGCTTCGTGAGTGACAGGCGTAGTGGTGTAAAAGCCAGCAGGTGTAGGAGTAGAGGTATATAGTGGAGTAGACTGTGGTACAATGCTAGATGTGAGATATGAAATTTTGGCAACAGTATCATTAGCGGGCGAAGTAGTGAATCCTCCAGGGACTGATGTCACATGAAGAGGATTCAATATTCCTTTCATTTGTGAGTATGATCCTATACAACTACCACCGGTAGAAGGACCAGCGATAGCTCCATTAGCAAAGGAAGTAGCAATAGAATTAACAAGATTGCCACTATTTCGTGATACTGAATTAGCGCTAAATTGACCATTAGCAAACATTGCAGGAGTAGAGTTAATGAAGCTGCCATTTATTGATGATCCACCAATATTTCCAATCCTATTAGAGCTAAACAGATCATTGATTGCATTGACATTAACGCTTGCATTATTGGTAGTAAAGCCATCAGCATATTTAGCTAATCTATTTGCCAGATTATTTGTACCAAAGATAATGTTCTGATTGTTGTTATCAACTATATTAAGGTTGCTGCTATTCTCCGTGGACATAATGCTTTCTACTGGATTTAAGAGAGTGGCGATGCTTGTAATTTTATTATTAAATGGAAATTTTCCAACGTCCACTCCATTTGTATAAACGTTCGAAGAGCTAGTAAAGATATTGCTAGCAAAATTTTCACTTTTAAGAGCAATGTCATTATTTGTCTGTCTATCCCCAACTGCATCGATTATATCGATCAAATTAGTATCTTGGATTTATTACGCCAAAGCTCCCATTCTAGATAGTGTAACTGAAATTACAGATTTCTAGATCTTACCGATCGTTGAATAGCCGTTAACCGTATCACAGGGCTATTTTTCGAAAATGTCATCCGTGAGATTCGAACTCTAGACCTGCCGTCTAGGGGTGTGACAACTCCACCACTTCACTAAGTCGCCACACCCTATTACTATATATGGGGTGAGTCAATAGAAAAGGGACAAATCATTTTTAGTAATTTTTTTTTAATTTTTAAATTAAAATATCT